ATTCACACAGTAACACACTTCATTTGATTTTGGTAAATAATTAATTTTTTTGCTTTTTTTAGCAGTTTTTTTTTGTATCTATCCCAACTAAAAACCTTGTGCATGCCACTGGTGAGATAAGTATGTAAGCATCTATTCTTTCCATGTCTCATATTATCGTCAAGTCCGCGTTCCACAGATTGTATTAAATTAGGTTATCTAAACTCTTTACGAATAATACGCAGATACAAATTTTAAATTAGAAAAATTAAATTATACCCCAACTCTCAATTTTATAAGCTTTTTACAAAGATTGTACGTAGTAATATTTTGAGGCCAAGTGTTTTAATAGTATAATATAAAAATATTCCATGGGTGCTAATGCGAAAATTATGTTATTTATACATCCAATCCTGATGTACAGAACCAGGTTACACTGCACTTTGATAAAAAAAAATTGCCAGAGGAATAAACAGGTTGAGCATATTCGTAAGAAGTGCTCATCATGCCAGTTTCCTCACAAACATAATTTTGACCTGAAAAATTCCAATGCGGGATATATCTCTCCACAAAAATAACGGTTTACCACAACGATCTTAAAGTCGCTACCAAAGTGTTGCGCAACTTTGATACTGGTTCAAGTTTTAAAGTCAAAATGAAATAATCATTTATTCCATTAGTAAAATTAATTTACACCTGAAGACGGCATTTTTTAAGCTACTGCTCGTCGACTGAGCTGACTTCCCTGAGAAGAACGAGCAAGAAACTCTAGGGGTTGATCTTTTCAAATAAAGTTGTAAGAGGGCTGCTGGTGCTGGTGGCGCTCTGTGGGATAATAGTAATGAAGCCTGGATAGTAGTAGTAGCTTCCGCAGCCTCCATACATCTTACTTAGTAAGTTTAGTAGTTCAAAAGTTGAAATTTATTCAGGTTTAACAATAATATTACTATGATTTTTAAAATGTAAACGGTGTAAATATAACTAGTAAAAGGTTCAAAAAGATAAAAAGAGATGTGTTCGGTGCCCCGATCGGGCAGGGAGTGACGATGCAACGACACAAAATCAGAATGCGAAGCAAAATGGAACAATTCAAAATTTTAATTTAAATACGAGTGTGAGAAGAAAATAAGAAATTTAAATTAAAAGGTCTTCAATCCCTAATCACCTCCGATCAAGGAGGTCACAACGTCATAAAGTTATATGCTATGGAATACACTTTGAATCATATTTATGTGGAATCTAGACTCATGTCGTCTTTCTATACATCTGTACGTAACACGTAGTCTTCAATTTTGTAATATGACTTTTCAATTAAAATGCTCTTGTTGTTAGTTTTAAACTTAGGAAATGATAATCTTAATATAATGCTCGGGAATATTATTGGAAAAACATATACAGTTGCCCGTAAAAGAATGGTTTACCTTAGTTTTGGACGTAGTTCTAAGGTTAATAATATAGATATCTTCTTGCGTATTTAAATTGTATGTATGTTTTTATCGGCATATAAAATGTTTGAGTAAATGTACTGTGATGTTACCGTCGTGATACCAGTCTCCTTAAACTTTTCTCTGAGAGAAACTCGAGAACCTAAACGGTACACAGAACGAATCTCGCCTTTTTTGGAACACAAATATGGTTTGAATAGGTATCTACCGCTATGCCCACATGACAATGGTAACCCCGTAAGACATTATAATATGGAAGTAACCAAAGTAAACACTAGTAGAAAACAGCTAAGATATTTGGAAAGACGATTCTTCGATCTTTCTATTAATAGGTATCGTTAACCTTTTAGTGAACAGACCAGAAGTAAAATGTTGTGTTAGGAAACTCGGTTTGGATTAACAATTACAAGAATAAGTAATTGTAAGTAAGAAAAGTTACAAGTTGCAATAATTTTTATCGTGTTTTGTTATGCCGCGTAGCAAAATTCGTAGCACTACGGCATAATCGTAGACCCTGTACGTAAGGGAGACAATAATAAAGTTGAGTCAATTGAGTGCATTTAACCCTCCGCGAGAGCGAAGTAGGGAGGGGAGGAGAAGGGAGGGCTCAAGTGCGTTTTGATGCTCAACTGGAGGAGGGTCATTGGAGGCAAACACAATATGAGCTTTGTTTTTATTGTTTGGTCGTACAACATAATCAGCCCTACTCGTGTGTACCCTGTAACCTACCTATCATACAGTATGTTATGCAATATTGATGTAACGTACATAAAGATTAATACCGATTTTATTTGCATGGAACTCCCATTACTGGACACGGATCTCTTATAATTAAGTTCAATTAGTAAGTTAATAAAATTAATTTAATTCAAATTCCAGAATTCCCAGGATTTGTTGAGATTGAAATAAAATCATTAATATGTAAGAACACATTTATTAATCTCTCATATACGCAAGTATATAGTACAGTACATATGCATAGCTGACGTCACTGGGCTACACTACGGCCTACCTATAATATATATATATATATATCTGTATGTACAAAGTATTTTAACACACACATTGCTTGCACGCAAAATGACACGAATTTTTTAACGAAGCTGAGACCATTTTGACGCCAGTGGTTCACCTGGTGAATGCCTTTGGTTCGATCTCTTGTAAGTTAGCTCTGGTATGTCATCATCATAATCAAAAGGCTTAAAATTGCCTAAAACTAACTGTTAGTTTTAGGCTACTTTTATGTAATATAATTTTCCTTTGTTGTTTTTTATTTTCGTATCAAGTCGTGTGATATAGCATTTACTTGTTTCGCGTAACTATCTATACATAAATAACTATCTATTATATTTTTATCTATTATATACATCACAGAGCACTGGGAATGTACGCGTACCTGTTGGAACTAAATAAGTCGACAAAAATTGCTTTACATTTTCTAGAATGTAAATGTCAGAACGAATAAAGGCAACAGTGACATATATTTAATACAAAATGTTCTTTTACAATTGTTTCGGTAAATAAATACACGTGAAGAAGGAGGACAACATCTAAGTTTTATAAAATGAGCAAATACCTTAAAATTAACACCAATAAATACAAAAAAAAAACAACAATTAAAAAGTAAATGGCAAATAAATGTTATCATTATTTTATTAAATTACTATTTACAAATTATCGCGTCCCTCGCTGAGCGTTGTCGTAGCGACTTGTACAAGCTCACACTTTATCTTATATGTATACATATCTACTTTATATAACTAACATATTTATTGCTTTTCATTGAAATTACACATTGAGTGAATGACATAAATTAATTTACTTGATAAAACTACTATAAATAGATACACCCATTTTTAAACAAAATAATATAAATATTTGTTTCGGATCTAAATCGCAAATATACTTTTTCGATCAAATTAACGCTTCGGGTCCGGGTGGTCGCGGCTGAGAGCCTGAAAAAATAGTTTTATTTCCATTGTGTACCATTCGCGAAAACCTAACAACTCGGTAATATCAATACTCGAAACACACCACTGCTAACTGCAGCCGTTTTGATTCGCCAGATTTAACGTAGGTACCTAGTCATTTACCCTACTACATGCCGCGCCGGTCCGTGGCCAAGTCCACAGCACAATTGTGTAACGACGCGTTATGACCAATTTGGTGGTGGAAGTATTGGTATATTATATTAAATAATGAGTATTACATTAGACGTAAACATACAAATCATGAAAAAGTATCAACCCCTGTTAAATTACATACCGCCGGCGAAATTCCATTGATGTGAACTCTTGAGTACAAAAACATAAGAAACAAAATTACTAGAAAGAATTATACAACCATCTTTATTTTATAACTAAAAGAAGATCTTCAAATTATATTTTCGCCTCACTAGCTCGGAAAGGCTTTTTTCTCATTAGAAATCTGCGCGCAAAAGCATTTATTCCACGCTAGTGTGGAAAAGGTTTTTGACTTTCGAACTTGACGATGGACTGCGGTGCACAACATTTTTCTTTCGATGAAAAAATATAGGAATTGGCACGTTCAACTACGGGATTTGTCGTATATTGCATATTTATGTAATGTAAATCCGTTGGTATATTTTATTCTTATTATTGTTGACATTAAATTGACAATGACAGCTAATTGTGTTTATTAGAACTGGTTTGTTATAGTTCAACTATTGTCCTTTCATCTACCATTTGCCTTTTGCCTTGCCACAGTGAGGTGAAAAGTGCCGCGTTTCGGTCGGCAGCAAAGTTGTTTCGCGTCTCGTTGACACCCGCTGCGCTTAAGATTCTGTCGCTTCACAGAATCGTTCGCTTGCTCAGGTTTCGACAAAGCACTCGCGTCAAACAATAACTTTGCAGCTTTGCATAATATATAACTATTTAAGCTTTAATTGCTCGAGAGGCCGTCCGAAGAGTAGGTAAGGAATTTCGTCCAAAAACGGAGACACGTGATTTTCAAATTTAGTTGACGATATTAGGATCCATATAAAATTAACGACAGTCTTTCGTATACGTTTATATTTTACGCCTCCAATAAACCCTTGGTTACTATTTACAAGATAATTTATTACCTAGCGTAACTATTATAATACATTGGTGTCATTTCGAATTTTAGTTCAATCATTTCACATCAAGCGGCGCCTGCGGAAAACAATCAAGACGTATTTAGTAGCAACTACTTATTAAATAATCTGTGATTAGGTATATTACCAAATGTACATTACCTTAAAAGAAGAAGAATACCGGAAGAATTTTTTAGTAAGGTAAATCAAATGAAAACAAAATAAATAAATTGAATCATCCACTTAAAGACTTTTACATTCATAGGATTGTTTCATTTTAAGAAGAATCCTTATAAAACTACACGCAGACTGTAAAAGAATAAACCAGTGCTAAAAATTATTTTTTCTTAATTTTTTGGTATTCATTATGTTAAGATCCTTAAAAGTGATAAACAAATTGGTGCTGCTGACACAGGTTTATTTCTCAATGGTATTGTTCTAGCGATTCATTTGACCTTTCACTAGTGGCGGATTTGCCCTAAGGCCCGCCTAGTCGGTCAGATTTTAAGGGCGGCCAACCGTGACAAAAAAAATGCACTGATGATAACAAGAAATAACTCAAAGTACCACATGACCTGGAGCCTAGGGCGCCCAAGACTGCAAATCTGCCACTGCATTTCACTGCAATAGATTACAGTATATAGTTTCTTTACAGGAGATGACGAGACTACCACGTGCCAGTACTGAAAATAGAGTACAGGAAAAACTATCACTTTTGTCCATTCGCGTAAGAACGACCTAGGTCAGTGTTTTCAAGATCAAAAATTAAGTGGAAAATTAAAAAGTAATAATATTAAAAAATCCGTAAAGAACAAGTTAAGGAAACTGCGCTAGGTGGTTGCCAAACGACAGTCCAGGTTTAAAGCTGCTTTTTCATCGCGGACGAGCCGACGCAGAGACTACGTGCGGCTGGCCTCGGCGCGATTAGACCATCTGCAGGCCCTTGGACAGGCTCTCCACGTGCTCCTTGGCCTTCAAGCGCAGCGCCGCGATGGACGAGGCGCGCGGGTCGGGCGGCGCGGGCGGCGCGGGCGCCGGCGCGGGCGGCGTCAGGTACGAGGGGTAGCCCGAGGGCGGGTGGCTGAGGAAGCCTGGAGCACAGAAAAGTCAACATTTGTTTCAATTGTTTCGACTTACGGGGAAATTCTGCACTAGTCGCTCTTGGACAATACGGAGTCGTGTCTCGTGGTCTCTCCGTTGTTGCCGTGGCAAATTGTTTTATTTTACTTTAAAGCTTCGCTATGACTACAAACGCACTTGCCGAGCTTTGCGGCAAGACCTCTTTCTGGACAGACTTTTTATCCAGCGGATCACAAGCTAACGGTTCTGCTTCTATGTAGTTACATTTTTTCTACCACATCTTACCTGGCAGTGCCGTGAGCAGTGGTGGGGCGAGCCAGGGATCCACCGGCAACCCGAGACCGCCTAACCGCGGTATGCCTCCTCCAGCCCCGCACCCGTAGTCGGAAAGACCTAGCCTTGCCGCCTCCATCTTCTCCTGGCGGCGCCACTTCGCGCGCCTGTTCTGGAACCACACCTGGAAGTACATATAAAGGGATATTAGGATGAGAAGCTGAAGATTTCACTTATTCACATTATGTTATATTCACATTACACGTATTGAATAACTTTATTTCATTTGTCACTCCCTATAGTTTTATAACAGTCGTAACACGGTGTTCTGTCATGGCGATTTTTGTACTAAGTCAAATAATTATTTATTCCACTGGGAAAATTTTTACACTTTAGAACGTCATTTTTCAAGCTACTGCTTGTTCACAGTGATGTTGACTTCCCTGAGAAAAATGAACAAGAAACTGTAACGATTGCTCTTTTCAAATAAATTTAAATGTTTTAATTTGTACGTGTAGCTAATGCGAAATGAATTTTGTTTTCTTGACAGTTATAACAATAATAATTCGTTTATTTGTAAAAAAAACGCAGGTTATATAGAAGTTGATGTGTACAAAATAAGTATGGTTTCACTGTGTCCGTTAAAGTGAACTCGTAAATAGTTAAAATTAAATACATAAGTAGAAAAACTCAATTTTTAATCAAAGGAACACCAAACTTAAACAGACAGGGTTCGGTACTGCACCATATTTTCCCGTCATAATTAAGTTACCATAATTATTGTGAAGATTAGGTATACGAGTACATTTCCCTTGAAAAGTAAATGACAAGAATACTATTAAGTATTATCCATCTCGTTAATTAAACAGTTGTCATGTGAAATGTAAATGGCATCGTTAAACTTAAGATTAAATTTGTCGACTGTCACAAGCGGTACAAAACGATAATGACATTAAAAAAAATGTCGAACGTTAAAGTCACGCCATCAAATCCGTGACGTCACGTAACAGATTAACGAGGTGAAAGACACCCTCGAACCTCGGGCCGACGGCGGCACGTCGTTCCAGGGTCGCTGCAACTTCGAGCAATAAATCAAGACCCACAAACGACTCTGAGCACGAACTCAATCATAGCGAAGTAATACAACTTTTACATCAATAAAAGACGGGTTACATTTCGTCGCGTTTTGATTTCGCGGCGTTGAACTGTGGCGTGAAACGATACATCGATGCCAACTTCATGTTACACTGGCTAATGGCGACGACGTCCAACTGTTTACTGGAAGTAGTATTAATCGAGTGCCAAACCACCCGGCTTGCTTTACACATAATGAAAAAAGTTGCTATCGATTAAGTTGCACAACATTTTCATTAACTCTTTTCCGAAACTATAATATTTTCCTACTCGTACAATATACAGTGAACGTTCGTCGATGAGTTATCGTTTTACGTTCATGACGCAAATGTGGCAATTGGTGTGATTGTCGGTCTCACCAATTACGTGCTTTACACTAAGTCACTTGGTTTGGCACAAGTTGGCGTACATAAGCAAAGGTTGACATGTCTATGATGATGAAATTTGCATGGAATTGAAAAAAGAAAATCCGTGATATATAGCACTCAATATCCGTATTTAGATATTATGAGACGATTATGATGTGGTTTTAAACCCTATATAAGTTTCTAACTTCGTCCACTTTCTCTAATATATTGGTTTTTATCGTACAATCTGGGTTCGCGTGTTGACTCCGAAGCGGCGGCGTGCGACCGCCGCGATTCAACGGCAATAAAAATGTAATATCATCGTCTGGTGCAAGTCGAAACTGCAAACTCGGAGAGTCCATTGTAGATGCTCTTGTTAGTTCTTTATCTTAATGGCAAGTAAATACGATTACGTAGTGATATTCTAGCAAAAGTTTTTTGTACGATTTTTGTAAGTCACCGCTATCTCTTTTTACTGCGGTTAAAAAATATTTTCTTTATTAACTCTCCTTCACCAATAAGCTTTATGGAAACTTTAGGTTTTAACATCACTTTACGTATCCATAATTTGAAATAGCATCGAAGAGGTATGCAAAGAACGCGATTAAACCCCATTAAACGGAGTTTATAGGGCTCACAAATCTTGTCGACAATAAAACAATAACTCGAACACACCGCCTCCCGCGCGGCGCGCGCCGCGCAGTTAGCGAATCGTGAGTTCACGTATTAAAATTAAGGTGGTAATTATCAAGTTTTCACTTCGTAGTGTGGCTGACTAATACACAACATCACCAGAAATTTGTTATCTTAACGAAAGTAATTGCTTACATTTTTTGTCAGTAAGGCTTTGTGTTCTTAATAGACGTCTTGAAAGACAATAATTTTATTCAGAAGGCGTTGATGAAATGATCAGGGAATTAAACTATCGTTATCGCCTTGAACTAATGAACATCTCCTCCTCCACCCCGCTACCGGTTCCCGCTCCCGTAGTGCCGTCGATTGCACGATCCATTTGCTGTTTAGTGCCGCGCTGTGCGCCCCTGCTCGCAACGAGGGACGAGAGTATGAAATGTGACACTCAATAAATTGCTCGAGCGCTGTTACGGTGCCATGACACGGCAGCGAAGGAACTTCAAAGTTGTCAATTATCATCAGACATAATTCAATTGATTGACCAAAGAAACGAATATTTATTCAAACACTCAACGGAAATTGAAATAAATATTTTAAATATTAAAGACAACACGGAGTTCTTAGGTTCTCGCGATTGCTATGTACAGGTAGGAAATGAAACTATTCTTCGGATCTAAATCACGTATATATTTATTTTTCCTAACAAACCAATGTTCCAAGCTCTGTACAGGTCTCATGGTCACGGCTGACCGACAGTTTAAAATAGTGTCATTTCAAAATCCGTTGAGTTTCTCACGTAAGTACGTACGTATTTCATGAGTAGGCCCTCTGAGGCCTAATCCAACACTGACCTTGTCTATCCAGTGACAGTCTCAAGTGTATCAATGAATCAAACGTCAAATGATTGTTGGGTCTCTCGGTATTTTAGAAGACCTTTTTTGAATTGTTTGACCATTTTTCGTTTCGTCGTCGTCGACAGCCCTAAACACCCCACAGAATATAAGAAGTTAAAAGATGAAGTATGGTGTCGGGCGGTACCACCGACCGCTACACCGCGCCCCCGCATCGCGGCGTGGAACGTGTTAAATTGTACTGTTACAGGCATTGAACATTAGAAGGACATGAAGACGCCGAAACAAATATTGTGTCAATAGTCAATATTATATAATATCGAACTTGTTTTAATTCTGTAAGCTCCAACAGCTGATGCAAGTGAAACGATTTATTACGAATTAACTGAATTGACCTCAACATGAAAACCACTCTCATTTACCTACAAGTATCAATAATAGTTCCGATAACATGGTAACATTCTATACTAATTTGCCTGCATTCGGGGAAATAGTTATTTCCCCGATTGTGATCGTAATTAATTGTTTATTATGTGCGTAGTCCAGTATGGTAAATTATTATATTGAACCATATTAATGAAATGGATATTAATTAGGCTATTAAGCGCGGCGTTGTTGCTTGTACCTGAAATAACATTTGAATAGTTACTCTATTAGAACTATAACCTTGTGTGGCATAAAAATTGTGTACATAATAAATAACAAATAGGCATAGTTCCCCAAAACATAGGGCGCAATATTGTTACCTCGTAATGGAGGCCCAATACTCTAACATAATATTTATGTTAAGTACTTGATATGAAAATCGCAAAAGTAATTTGTGTTCACCGTCCCATCAAAAGAGTCAGCGAGGCGATGTGCACCAAGTCCGTCACAGCTAGGTGCCTATTGCCCCCTACCCTCCCGCGTGTGCTTCTCGCCACTGTTCGCGTTCGCTCGTCGCCCGCGCGCGCGCGGTATGCGCCATCATAATTCACGATCGTTGTAAACTTAACAAGTGTGTGTTGATCACGCGACATTCGATCACGCGGTCATGTCCCACACGAAACAATTATTTGGTGACTTTTGTTTGATGTGAAAACTAAGCTTGCTTAATGTCTGCTTAACAAACTGTTAGTATTCGGTTTTGAATCCAACTGTGTAAAATGTCGACTGGGTTAGTATTCATGTTGTTTTCGATACCGTCAAAAGGATTACAGTAATGAAACGTCTACACATATTTACAAAATATTTTACAAAGTCGGCGAAACACTGTGGAACAGTTGTTCAATAAACATTTTTACAAACAAATAAAGCGACAGTAAAAATTTCCAAAGGCAATCAAAATAAATAATCGAGCGCATTGTGGACGCCAATATTGAATCACGCGCAAAATGACGATAATCGAATAAACCGCCCCAAAACGGGCTGGATACACTGCATAGTAGATAAGTTTACAAGTTTGTTATATAGTGCTACATGTAAGCACACACATTACGACTAATAAAGCAATATTTTTTTTGGAAAATAATGCACGAAATCCATTCTCGCCCACTGAGCACACATTCTTTTATAGGACGCAAATGCCTTATTGTTACGTCCTAGAGAACCTATTATAGCATATGTGCTGCTAAGTACCGATACAAGCTGCAGACGTGAAAGGTAACGGTACAATAACTTTAACGTCTTAAGTACAAGTACCTTTGTTTGTTGTAAACATTTTCTTTCGCAGTTTGTGCTGCTGCAGTAAAAATGGACGGGCGAAAAAACTACCATATGTCACATAACAGCGGAGTCAATTCACCCCGTGGAGGGAGAGGGCGACAAATACAATTATAATCAACAAACAATCGCATTGGTATTCGAAAACTTAGGCGTTTAACGTGTTAAATGACCCTCATTTCCACACTACAAATAACTATAAATATATTTATGGAAAAATTATATTTTACGGACACGTAGAAGAGTATTAACGGGTCAAACTAATACGTATACACTGTAAAATGAAAAAGAGGACGAGGAACACGGGAACAGATCGGGAATGTCAGGTAGATAAAAGAAAAAAGCCGAGAGTTCAAATGCCGATCCTCATGTGCTTCATCGATTACGCGCAGGCGTTTGATTGTGTGAAATGGGACTGCTTGTGGAATATACTGCGCAAGACGGGTGACCTTATAGTTCTTATCGTGAATCTGTACCAGGACGGTGTATCAATGGTAAGAGTCAACGACATCATCTCA